AGGATAGGACGCACATGTAGCATGTGACACCTACCCTCTTCTCTCATTCCTGTGTTTCATTCCATGAGATTTGTTTTGGAAAGTAGATTAAAAATCAGTTTTTGACTTTTTTATTAAATTTTTTTTTTTAAAAAAAAAGTGCAAAAAAATTAGAGATGATGTGATTTAAAATAGTAAAAATGTTGACATTTAATCCAATTGTCAAAATAGGCCTAAATTCTATGAAAATAAATTTACTAATCAACTTATGAAATTATGCATGCAAAACAACAAGAGGGAGGTTAAAATCTTACGTCCAGTCTCATGCGTGACATGCGCAAAGAAAGCAGCGATTTCGCGCTTAGAATCATCAACCGAACCATCCCTTCCAAAAAGAGGGTACAAATTAAGTGCCTCAAGGAACAAAGATCGAGTGTAGAAACTCTTTCCGGCACAACTTGCATCGGCTTCACCAATTATCCCATCGAAGAAAGCCTGCGTGACAATGTCAGACACCGAGACATTGCTAGGACTCGGTGTCGCAAAACAAGGACCCTCTTGGCAGCCTGACCCACAATATGCATCGGTAGTGCCACAATACCCATATTGGCTGCAACACATGTCTGATGCACAACCACAGTTCTGTGCCGATATGAGCGCCGGCAGAGCTCCGGCGAGGATTCCGGCAAGAATGAATGTAAGCAGGTGATTTGTTTTGGATACCATTTTTGAAGAAGTTATAGAATGGAAAGAGAAGAGAAGCAAGGGTTTGATGTAAAAGTGTGGGTGTGAAAGAGGTATTTATAGTATGGTATGATATGATCTGATCAATGGGAGCGCTAGGTTGGTGTGTAGTGGTTTGAGGATAGATAAAGTCGGCCATGCAACCTTCTAGAGAAAGCGTGTATATGTATGCATTTTGTCGACGGGGTTGACTTTGACTTCTTCAAAAGGGGATTAAAGTTGATTTTTCACTTCCAAAAGAGAAATAATATTTGTTGAGCAATACTTGGACTAAGACTTTTACCAAAAATTTTACCATAAAATATATGCATAGAATGTGCAAAAACTCTCACATAAAGGAGGAATGGATAAACGTTGGTTTAGGCTTGGGTTGGGTTGAGTTGGGTCAGACCAGCACTATATAATAAGGAATTGTGTTTGTCCAAGTCAAATTCGCCCTAATATCGAGCTTCTATATTTACTTGAGCTCAGTCCAAAAAATAATTATAAATTATAAGCTCACCCATCAGGTTATATGTTTAAAAACATTAAAATATTTCATAATTAAATTCAATCACACATTATATTTCTTAAATAAATATATTGGTATCATTATAAATTAAAAGATTTTGGGTATAAATTGAAAGATTTCTTACATAAACTCAATCATACATTACTACAAATGTGAGTTTAATAAAATCAACAAAGATAAAATGTAGATCCCAAAAAAATATATATATTAAATTAGTTGAAAGTATAAATCCCAAGCCCCGCCCATTAATATTTCGGGATAAAAATGTTGATCCAACTTGGCTCTATGAGCTAAAACAACCTTCTCAAGTCCTGAAAAAGTAAAGTTGGGTTAGGCTGAGTTGGGCGGACTAGGAGGGCCAATGAGCCGATATCCACTCTACATAAGGATGAGTTCTACATGGGTCTGTGAGGCTCATTTTCATGTAAGAGTATATGTGCATATAGCATTGTTGCTTCTCGGTAGTGCTACCTGCATCAATCGGTATATTAATTAGTGTATCAATATATGTTATGACATTCTTATTTCAAAATTATGATTCACCCATCATACAAATTACAAATACTCAAAATCTCTAAAATTATACCACATTATCTGTTAGTACTGTAATTGGTATATCAATTTGTGCATATAGCATTATTCAAAATCTAATTAATGGAAAATTATGAGATGCATGGTGTCTTAATTTCCCTATTGCTAGTTAAGATAGTGAGATTAATTAATTTTATATTTATTTTTTAGAAACAATAAAATAATTGTTACTTGCTAATTAGTTAAAACAGTGAGATTAATTAATTTTATATTTATTTTTTAGAAACAATAAAATAATTGTTACTTGCTAATTAGTTAAAACAGTGAGATTAATTAATTTTATATTTATTTTTTAGAAACAATAAAATAATTGTTACTTGCTAATTAGTTAAAACAGTGAGATTAATTAATTTTATATTTATTTTTTAGAAACAATAAAATAATTGTTACTTGCTAATTAGTTAAAACAGTGAGATTAATTAATTTTATATTTATTTTTTAGAAACAATAAAATAATTGTTACTTGCTAATTAGTTAAAACAGTGAGATTAATTAATTTTATATTTATTTTTTAGAAACAATAAAATAATTGTTACTTGCTAATTAGTTAAAACAGTGAGATTAATTAATTTTATATTTATTTTTTAGAAACAATAAAATAATTGTTACTTGCTAATTAGTTAAAACAGTGAGATTAATTAATTTTATATTTATTTTTTAGAAACAATAAAATAATTGTTACTTGCTAATTAGTTAAAACAGTGAGATTAATTAATTTTATATTTATTTTTTAGAAACAATAAAATAATTGTTACTTGCTAATTAGTTAAAACAGTGAGATTAATTAATTTTATATTTATTTTTTAGAAACAATAAAATAATTGTTACTTGCTAATTAGTTAAAACAGTGAGATTAATTAATTTTATATTTATTTTTTAGAAACAATAAAATAATTGTTACTTGCTAATTAGTTAAAACAGTGAGATTAATTAATTTTATATTTATTTTTTAGAAACAATAAAATAATTGTTACTTGCTAATTAGTTAAAACAGTGAGATTAATTAATTTTATATTTATTTTTTAGAAACAATAAAATAATTGTTACTTGCTAATTAGTTAAAACAGTGAGATTAATTAATTTTATATTTATTTTTTAGAAACAATAAAATAATTGTTACTTGCTAATTAGTTAAAACAGTGAGATTAATTAATTTTATATTTATTTTTTAGAAACAATAAAATAATTGTTACTTGCTAATTAGTTAAAACAGTGAGATTAATTAATTTTATATTTATTTTTTAGAAACAATAAAATAATTGTTACTTGCTAATTAGTTAAAACAGTGAGATTAATTAATTTTATATTTATTTTTTAGAAACAATAAAATAATTGTTACTTGCTAATTAGTTAAAACAGTGAGATTAATTAATTTTATATTTATTTTTTAGAAACAATAAAATAATTGTTACTTGCTAATTAGTTAAAACAGTGAGATTAATTAATTTTATATTTATTTTTTAGAAACAATAAAATAATTGTTACTTGCTAATTAGTTAAAACAGTGAGATTAATTAATTTTATATTTATTTTTTAGAAACAATAAAATAATTGTTACTTGCTAATTAGTTAAAACAGTGAGATTAATTAATTTTATATTTATTTTTTAGAAACAATAAAATAATTGTTACTTGCTAATTAGTTAAAACAGTGAGATTAATTAATTTTATATTTATTTTTTAGAAACAATAAAATAATTGTTACTTGCTAATTAGTTAAAACAGTGAGATTAATTAATTTTATATTTATTTTTTAGAAACAATAAAATAATTGTTACTTGCTAATTAGTTAAAACAGTGAGATTAATTAATTTTATATTTATTTTTTAGAAACAATAAAATAATTGTTACTTGCTAATTAGTTAAAACAGTGAGATTAATTAATTTTATATTTATTTTTTAGAAACAATAAAATAATTGTTACTTGCTAATTAGTTAAAACAGTGAGATTAATTAATTTTATATTTATTTTTTAGAAACAATAAAATAATTGTTACTTGCTAATTAGTTAAAACAGTGAGATTAATTAATTTTATATTTATTTTTTAGAAACAATAAAATAATTGTTACTTGCTAATTAGTTAAAACAGTGAGATTAATTAATTTTATATTTATTTTTTAGAAACAATAAAATAATTGTTACTTGCTAATTAGTTAAAACAGTGAGATTAATTAATTTTATATTTATTTTTTAGAAACAATAAAATAATTGTTACTTGCTAATTAGTTAAAACAGTGAGATTAATTAATTTTATATTTATTTTTTAGAAACAATAAAATAATTGTTACTTGCTAATTAGTTAAAACAGTGAGATTAATTAATTTTATATTTATTTTTTAGAAACAATAAAATAATTGTTACTTGCTAATTAGTTAAAACAGTGAGATTAATTAATTTTATATTTATTTTTTAGAAACAATAAAATAATTGTTACTTGCTAATTAGTTAAAACAGTGAGATTAATTAATTTTATATTTATTTTTTAGAAACAATAAAATAATTGTTACTTGCTAATTAGTTAAAACAGTGAGATTAATTAATTTTATATTTATTTTTTAGAAACAATAAAATAATTGTTACTTGCTAATTAGTTAAAACAGTGAGATTAATTAATTTTATATTTATTTTTTAGAAACAATAAAATAATTGTTACTTGCTAATTAGTTAAAACAGTGAGATTAATTAATTTTATATTTATTTTTTAGAAACAATAAAATAATTGTTACTTGCTAATTAGTTAAAACAGTGAGATTAATTAATTTTATATTTATTTTTTAGAAACAATAAAATAATTGTTACTTGCTAATTAGTTAAAACAGTGAGATTAATTAATTTTATATTTATTTTTTAGAAACAATAAAATAATTGTTACTTGCTAATTAGTTAAAACAGTGAGATTAATTAATTTTATATTTATTTTTTAGAAACAATAAAATAATTGTTACTTGCTAATTAGTTAAAACAGTGAGATTAATTAATTTTATATTTATTTTTTAGAAACAATAAAATAATTGTTACTTGCTAATTAGTTAAAACAGTGAGATTAATTAATTTTATATTTATTTTTTAGAAACAATAAAATAATTGTTACTTGCTAATTAGTTAAAACAGTGAGATTAATTAATTTTATATTTATTTTTTAGAAACAATAAAATAATTGTTACTTGCTAATTAGTTAAAACAGTGATTGCTTGCTTTTCTCATCCTCATACCCTGAAGCCTTCCCGGTTCTACCAATTAAAAAGGGCTCCGGCAAGGAACTGTTGCTTTGAATGTCAAGACCGTGATAAGATCGAGATGCAAGATACTCTGCCCCAGATTTAGCTGTTCCCTTGATTATAGATTTAGGGTCCTTGTCGCTCACCTGAAGAGCCTTCTCTGTTGCTTTCACTAAGGCAAGAGTTCCATCTTCATTTTCCTCACTGGTCTCTGATAACCCACACATTCAAATATTCGAAATATTATAAACATTAATTACATTTACCATGTTCCTGTCATATGTAGAAAAAAAAACTGAGGTAAACTCGGGTGATGTATGATTTTATCCGTCTTACCTACAGAAAAATAGGAAATAAATAAATAAATAAATAAGAGAGTGAGTTTTCATCGAGGAAATTAATGGACACGGAAAACAAGTAGAAAAATAAATAATCGCCTAGTAAAGATTTTCCCTCTGCCTTTCGGAGAGTGTTTTCTAATCTAAAAACTAAAATGGCCATATCAATAAGGCAGGGACAATCAATATAAATAATTTTATTGTAAACAACATTTATCACCGGATAATCCTTATTGATCTAGGAAAGGGATATATTAAAGGAAACAAACAGCTAAATAATTTGAGGTATGAAGTGGGTTTTTGTGCAGGTTCTTTCTTCACAACCCTGAAGAACAAAATTGCCATATTGGCAAAAATAGGTGCATCAATACCCCCTTGTTGGAAATTCATAAAAGTATAACTTTAACGACCAAAATCAATTGCCATTGCATATTCTCAAGGTTACGGTAAAAGATACATCAATCTCCTCTTGTTGGAAAACCTGACCTCGAAGTTCAAAATTGCAGTTAACAACAGGAAAATAAACAGTTCATTATAATCCATTATAAAATACAAAGCCCATATGTTCACAGAACCCTTTTTTTTTATTTGAAAGCATCTTTGCAAATAAAAATTGAGCAAAAAAATTGAAACAATGTATTCATAAGTAAATTCTCATTCTTAGACCTACTATGGTACCAAAAAATGACCAATCCTCTACAAATACTCTTGAAAATAAGAAGGAAAGAAAAGAAATCTAAAAGAGAAGGAGAATCAATATTCAAAAAAAAAATGAAAAATAGAATAATTCCAAGAGGGAGGAGACATTCTAGTCCCCTACTTATTTAGCTTATAGCTAATTCAGATGCATCTGATGGCAACTTAAACTATTTTGCATGAGATAATTTCAAACTATGTCACCTTTCAGTACAATTTAGAAGAAATTTAGTCTTTTTATTCAAAAACATTATAAAATAAATAATAAGAAGTTTTACCAATCTTTTAATTGTTTCTCACTCTTTCGCCAAGTCTGAATAAATAATGAATGACTCTACCATGGCTTCTCTTAATTGTTTCCAAACAACTCATTACTACTACAGACAACGATGCCAAAAGAGCAAACAAGTTACCTTCCAGTTCAAAATCTTCTACATATCCACCTTGAAGGAATGAAAATCGTGCTTCTTCCAATTGGTCTCTTAATTCCATTGGAAATGAAGTCATCAAATTCTGAAATTCCATCACATAAGCTCCTGTCCATTGACTTCCTCTGGGGAATAAAATCATAAACAAAGAAAAAGAAAAAATAATATTTTAAGCAAGGATATTGATGAAATACAATAATTGTAGAGAATCAAAGGTAGCTTTTGGTAAAGTTTTAGAATTATAATTTAAGAATAGAGTTTTATTTTAAATTTGTGAGTTTTGGAATTATGATTTGAGTGTGAAAAATTTGTTTGGTTATGAGTTTTGAAATGAGTTTTGAATTGAGTGATGTGACATGATATTTGATTCAAAAACTTACAACTCATAACTAAACACACAACCCAAAATTCTAGTCAAAGCTCATAAAAAAATTTTAAAAAATTCCGAAAATATTTTTTATTTAAAATATAAAAATAACAAGTGCCCAAAAAAAAAAACACTAACACTATTTTGGTCAACTGGCCAGACGTCCGGGAGAACATCCGGGAGGATAACTGGGTAAACATGTTTTCAAAAGTGGGTGTGGAATCAATTTTTGAAAATTGTAAACAAACAGAGCACTCAAACCAAGGTGTGGAATCATGTTTGGAAAGCTCCACCGAACACAGCCAAAATGCTTTAAGCACGAATTTTAGACAAGTACTCCCTTCCCACACAACTAATTTATTGTTTTGAGCATCTAATCTAATCCCCAAGTTTTACTCTACTTCCTTATTTCCATTCATCAGTACGAAACACAGCTTCTCCACATGCGGAAGGCGGCGTACATCTATCCCTTCACAGATCCCAGTGGTGGGATCTTTGTGCACTAAGCTGCCATTTATACATCCAAGTGCTAATGGACTTTGCACCAAAATATATTGCTACACATCAATTTCTCCACATTCAAATTGCAAAATGTGGATTGAGATCCTCTACATTACATCATCTAATAGTTTTAAAATGATAATAATAATAATAATAATGTATTTATAAAAAAGAAAAAAAAGTCAATTGTTGTAATGACTTTTTCTTAATTTGAAATAATGATAACTTGATACGACTATTTCAGAACCACTGGATGATGTAATAGAGATCCTCTATCACAACTACGTAATGGAGAAGATTTGGATCCGCAAAATGCAAACTTGTATGGGATAATGGGACTCCCTTCAGGTAAATAAAAAAGTAGGCAGAAACAAATTAACTACATAGATATTTTCTCTGATAAGTCATTTCATAGATTTGTGGAACAAAAAGTATCTAGGATAAAGATTTCTCACAAATTTGAGGCATCCAATCAGATTAAATTTGTGAAACATGATAGGTGAATTGAACTAAAATATCAAAATAGACATATCATAGATGATGTGAGTTTCAGCTTTGCAAGATGCTTATAGAAGAAAAAAAAAAAAAAAATCAAATACATATCAGAACATGTAGTGGAATACTGACAATGCGTGGGAGCAAATTCTTTTTGCACACGTGCCTATTGCAGAAAAAACTAGACTAGCAGAAAAGCCATGAGGCCAAACTGATTATAACAAAATGCTAATAGATGGTTTGAAAGACTGAACGGGTTAAGATGGAGTTAAGAACCATTAACTAATAATTTGACTAATAAATAGGGGAATTTTCTGGCAATACCTGCTGAAAGCTATCATGGCTTCAAAAGGGGTAATAACAGGAGATAAGAACTCTTTGCTATCCAAAAGAGCAGTTTGTGCACAAGAAACATAAACGAAGACATCACACTGCAGAAAGAAGAAAGTTTGTTACAACATTTTGTATTATAATCTCTAGCGAAAATAGAAAATCATCTGCTTGCATTCATCAAAGTTTACCTCCGGAAAGTTGGCAAGTTTAGCAGGGTTTGGTTTTCCCATAACAAGAGTATAGACTTTCTTTCCAGCTCTGGTGATCAACCCCTTCATCTGATTAATCATGTGCAAGTAACCAGCTGCATCAAGAGTTTAAAATAAAATGTCAATCTTCAAGAAAGTAAGATGATTCATGCTCAGAGAGATAAATAAATTACATAAAAGAGAAAACTGAATTTATCTCCTGAAAAGAGATACACAATCATAAAATTATCTGAAGGTATGCTACTGAAACGGAAAAATTAACAGGTCTTATCAATTTGTCCGAGGTTGATTTTTTCAAATAATCAGCGAATAGAAAAATAATTGCGCAAAAATATCAATAAAGGTTAGTTTGTGAAGAATTATGGACTTCATAAGTATAAATTCCATTCTGAACACAAATTACAAAAAAAATATAACCTAATTGACAGATCATGGGTGCTGTATTCAATAGTAAACAAGACTAACATGGCAGCTGTAAAATCACTTCTAAAATGCAACAGCAGTAACAATGCAATTCATTCAGGTTTACTTCATTTAGCCTCAGGCATGGTGTTGAGGAGAAAAACTAAATTAGTGATCAGAATTATTATTTCCAAAGCATTGTAAATATCCTTTTTGCTTTTACTCATTACTTTTAGCAATGAATGCATGCAATAAAGCCAAAAAATTTATTTGGAGCGTGGTTAGCAAGCCACAAGTATGAATTCAAAACGTGAAGCTTTGAAGCTTAGCAAAAAGATGATACTGATATCAATGCATAGAACAGTAAAGTACAGTAGAAGTATCTTAGAACATACCTACACCAAGAGTTCCTACCAATATCCCAATAATGTTAGCATCCTTTGCCTTCTCAACCAGGTAATATCTGCATAAGCATTATGCACAAAGTAAAAGATTTGATAAGACAACAAAATAGAATGAGAAAATTCAACAAAGGCAACGCTATAGGCAACCATATCATGCAATATGCCATAAACTAGTTTTAACTTCAAAGGGAAGAAATGGATAAGAATATGTTAAAAATAATACCTACGCTTCAGAATCCTTCTCTGGTGAGATACATCAGTCACTAAGCGATTTTCTGCGGCATCATATCTGACTGAGGCCAGTGCCAACAAAATTAGATACAGGACAAGTTAAATAGACAAGACATCATGCTCATCTGATCTGGAAATTAATATCAAGGGTAGAAAAAATCAATCACAATATTTCAACAGCCAATGACTAAAATAGATAGGGAATCAACCTTTCTTTCTCCAAAACTAGTAACAATAACAGACTATAAAAGAAAGGGGCAGGGGTAATAACGACGCAGCTTGAATGCATAGATTTTTTTCCAAATAAAAAAGAAATAGTGAATCATATTAGGGACTGGAAAAAAGGGTAGAAAAGTTAGCAGCATGAATGTGTAAGCAAATCAAATTTTAAAAGACAGACAGGCCCAAAGGATATGCAGACACACAAGAACTCAGTAGTAACTATCTCCATCCCATTTTAAGTGGCACGGTTGACCATCCACACAGTTTAAGGAAAGCATATTCAAGCAATAGATTTATAAAAATGCCATTTGCCTCGTTTTAATACATTTTTTGGAATTGAGATTCTATTTACATAAAAATTTTAAAAGGAGTAGCATGGGAAAGCTTTTTTTTCCGTACATAGGAGAGCTTTGGAATAAAGTTAAAAAACACAGGATCCGGTACCTATTTCACATCCATTGAATGTCAGAACAACATTTGCAAAGGCTGCATTGTCAGCACCAACCCAACAAAGCAAACAGTCCTCTATTCTACGTCCCTCAGGTAAACTCCAAGACAAGCCGCCAATGCTATGTAGTGTACAAATTGTGTTGCTAGAACCTTGATCAGTAGCAAGGCTACCATCCAACCCCAGGTGCCCACTGGAAGTTTTGACATTTTCAGATGGATCCATAACTGAACGAATAACATCAGCACAATACAATTCTAATTTGGATGTTGACCCATGTGGTTTTGATGATTCAATTGTAAATGCTTCTTTAATATCCTGTATTGCATATGCATATTCCAGTCCCAAAAGGACCTGCATTTCAGGGAAAATAATTGAACAAAGAAAGATAAGACAGTTAGCCATTGCAACAGATTATTTTTCCTTTTTGTTCTTGACAGCAGCAGAAATTTAAAGTTGGGTATTTATTTTTATTTTTTTGACAAATAACAAATTTAAAGTTGGGTTTTTAGCAGGCTACATTATACAAGTATAACAACAAACATGTCAACAGTGAAAAGAAAAGAATACATCTTTTAGAGCAGGTTTCTATGTAAAGCCTGAAGGAGAACGCAACTTAAGGAAAAAAAAAAAACAAAAAATTGTCAATGAATATAAACAAATTTGTAATCAACCAAAACTATGTAAAGCGGCACATCTGAGTTATATCCAACTATGCCACATCTGAGCTATGAACAAAGCAACAGTAATGATAAAATATTTGGGAAACCACACATTAGTGGGGTTTTGAAAAAATATTTACAAATTAGTGAAAAAGTTTATGAATTTAATTATTAATATTTATAAACTTTATCATTAGTTTGAATTTTTTTTTTTGAAAAAACACACTGAGGTGTAATTCTCCCTAAAATATTAATCCAGAAGAAAAATCTTTCTATTAGAACAAAAGATTATATAACCAAAATGCCACAATTCCTACTGCAACATCACATTGACATGCTATCAAAGCAATTCTTCTGTAGTGGATATTGTACAGGGTCATTTACTGCATAAATTCATAATAGACTACTTGCTCAAGCTTGTCTTGATAACAATGAATTCCATGTTATTAAGTCTTAAAAGTTTTAAACACATGTTGCCAAAGAAGTTAATCAAAGAACCCAAAAACAAAAATACTTGACATACCACAACAGGCTTGCCACTGGTCAATGCATAGTTTGACAAATTCTTTGAGCAGTTAGATACACAAATTGGAGCTTTCCCAAAAACAAATAATGCAGGAAGAGTTGATGTCCTGTAGCACCCAAAAGAGAATAATTTAAATACAAGTAAACCTATGAAATTTACGGTTCAGCCACTTAAACAGCACAGACAATAAAATTAATAAGCCTCATTATTTCCAAACTTTCAAAGTTAACAAAAGGAAAAATCAAACGCTACTTACGGACTAAGACATGTATGTCCGTAATGAATGACACAGTCCGCATTAATGTGAGATGCTCCAACCTCATCAACACAACAACTGCCATAAGTTGTATCTGCCATTACATACAACCCAACATCCTTATCACTTGCATTATCTTCACTAGAACAAAGCTGATCACGCAGAGCACTCACGACTCTTGTAGAATCCTTCAATAACTCATCTGGGAACTAACAATTCAAACCACAATAACTCATATTCAAATAATCAAGCAATCAAAACAAATATAACATATCCTGTGTGGATACCTCGAAAAAACTAGAAAATGGCTAGGGTGTAGAAGGTTCCAAATCCTAGATTTTCCTCCGTTTGAAGCACAAGAAACTTACACCTAATAGACTACGTCAAGTTGAGGTTTCACGTTTTAAATACCAAATCAACAATACATCTAGAGTTCAATTTTATGTTCTTCACTTCTGTTTTCACATCAGCCAAACAGAAGACTAACCCTGCTGTTGGTTGGCAAGGAAAATGTAGGAAGGAACTGTTTAAAAAAAAAAAAAAAACCCAATCCATTCAGTTCAGTTCAGTTGAAACATTCAGAGTCCAGTAATCAAAACAACCTCTCACATGAAGAATTGCCCAGTCTATTTCCTTTTGTTTTCTTTACATTCACATCCCATGATTTGGGAAGAAAATAGAAGAAACTTATTTCTCTTTGTTCATATCACTTGTTTTGGATTAGTAAAGAGATGGGATGAATTGAGAGAAATTCATTTCCCTCATAACCCTCATTTTGAGTCCTTCCACTTGGGGGGGAAAAAAATGACTTTAGATAAAAATAAATAAATAAAATAACACCACAAACTAGCACCTACAAAAAATTATTTTGGTAATATAACATGATTTGTTTTTTTCTTTACCTTTCTCTCCTATTTATTCAAACAATTTCTTCTCTTTTCTCTTTTAACTTATCTAATCAGTTCTTTTCTTTTCTTTACTAAATTCCCAAACAGAGTGCCAGTTTTCTACGTAACCGAACAGAGGGAAAGAAAAAAGAAAGAAATAATAATTTTGCTAGGGCTTTTGAGGTTTATACAAGAAAATTGCAAGGGTAGTAGAGAGAGAAATATGACCTGCAAAGCGACTCTAGTGAAGTTGCGGCTTCGGATGAAACTGGCAGTGCGGGAAATTTCGTAATTCGATTCCAATTCCATTACTGGAGAGGCTAGAAAGCTCTACTTCAGAAGAAACAAGCACTGCTCTGCACTGCACGCTTGGGGCAGATAAATATATGCATACGTATAAAGTTAATTTGGAAAAAGGAACCCCCGCCCCGCCCTAATCTGTCAAATTTGGGTTCTTAGTGTGGTTATGGTGGCGGTGGGTTCGGTCATTCAACGGCGGAGTGTGGCGGCGAACGGTGGTTGAAGGCTATAGCCACCACGAGAGCAATAGACGAAGCTTAAAAGGCAGCCACTAAGGTCGGCGGATATTCTGATCAGTGTTCAACCGAACCGATCTGTCCCAGAATAGATGCGTGATAATAAGCTGACAGATTGTAGATTTATTTTTGGGTAAATTACACTAGGGGCTGGACGCGGATCAGTTGCGGTTATGGAATTTTTAATTTGTCATTCATCTGTTAGAGTAGTGGATTGGAGAAAATCGATTCGTATCTTATTTTTGGATAAATTACACTAAGGGCTGGACGTGGATCAGTTGCGGTCATGGAATTTTTAATTTGTCATTCGTCTGTTAGATTAGTGGATTGGAGAAAATCGATCCGTATCTGTCTGCTAATTCGGCGAATGTGGATTAAGCGGATTGGCAGTTTAGCGGATGGATGCGAATTGGTTTGGTGGTTTAAGATTTTATAAATTTTCAACATAATTCAACTTGTGCGCTTCCTCAAAAAAGAAAAGAAAAGAAAATATTACAGTCAATGACTTAAAAAACTATTACAATCACTGTATGTCTCATCTAAAAAAAAAAAGTTTGAAACTTTAGAATATCACAATCACTGCATGACTCATTTACATATTACAATCACAGTATGATTCATCCACATATTACAATCACAGCATGATTCATCCACATAAAGTATTACAATATGTGGTTTTTAAAATATAATAACAATTCAAACCACCCAAACCATGAACAGGGCAATAGTACAAATTGTATGTCTCTGCATTGTTACATCTATATATGTTTTTGAAAACAAAAATCAACCAGCATATATTATATTTTCTATTTATTATTTTTAGAATTAAATTTAAAAACCAAAAAATATAGATAAATAATACGTTTATTTTTTTCAATTCAAAAAATATATTCAAGTTGAAAATTTTTTTTCAACAGAATATTTAAACTATTTTTTAATTGAAAACACAAACAAAATATTTAAACAAATTGAAAACATAAAGTCTTATAATTATTAGAGATGCTCGCGGTTTGGCGATTCGGTTGTGGCCAAAGGAATCTCAAATCCGTCATCCGTCCGCCAAATTGGCGGATTGAAAAAAATCAATCCGCAACCGTCCGCTCGTCATCACGCATCCGTCCAAAATACGACGGATCGGTTCGATTTGGGCGATTTTGGCGGATCAATATATCCGTTGCTCACCCCTAAATTACACTGACACGCTGAGATTTATGTTTATTATAATTCTCTCTCTCAACTTTTAGAAATTATATCTTTTTTTTTTAGGCTTAAAAGTTTCACTATAGATTCTTCTCAGCAATTTAATTTTTTTAAATATTAATTATGTTCTCACTGAATAAATTACATTGACATCTCTCATAGTTTAGAAATTACAATTCCCTTCCTAAGGTAAGTAGCATTACCAATTGCCCCCATTAGTTGGAAAAAAAAATTCATTGAAAAAAAATTAATTGGGAAAAAAATTATTTTAAAAAAAATTAATTGAAAAAAAAAAATTTGTTAGTCAAAATTTTAAATTTTTGTTTAAAAATCAACGTAAACTCATTTTTTGAATTTATATTTTTTCCTCAAATTTACAAACTGAGACAACCATTTATAAACCAAAAAAAATTATCAAACAAGTTTTTATGACAGTTTTTTAAATTTTTATAAATATAAATTGAAAACTGAAAACGAAATGGTTACCAAACAGGTTTTAGATGGTAAAAATGTCGTAAAATTAATAAATAATTAAATAAGTTACCAACGTAAGAAATGACTTATCAAAAGATTCTTAGGCTATGTATTGTTTGATTTTAGAAAAATTTTTAAAAATTAAAAATTAATTTGGTTAAGAAATAAAAAATAAAAAATAATTATCATTTTTATATAATTCTTATCTTTCGGGTAGTTAGAAATAATTTTTTACTTAAACTGAAACAGCCATACGTATATATATAACATGCCCAAAAGTTAAAATGATAATTATTTTTTACCCTTAAATAATAATTATTTTTTATTTTTTATTTCTTAACCAAATTAATTTTTAATTTTTTAAAAAAAAATTCTAAAAATCAAACTATACATAGCCTAAAAATCTTTTGACAAGTCATTTGTTACGTTGGTAACTTATTTAATTATTTGTTAATTTTACGACATCTTTACCATCTGAGGCCTGTTTGGTAATCATTTCATTTTCAGTTTTCAATTTATATTTACAAAAATTTTAAAAAACTGTTATAAAAACTTGTTTGATAATTTTTTTGGTTTTTAAATTGTTGTCTCAATTTGCAAATTTAAGGAAAAAAACGTAAATTCGAAAAATGAATTTACGTTGGTTTTTAAACAAAAATTTAAAAATTTTGCTAACAAAAATTTTTCAATTAATTTTTTTTCAAATAATTTTTTTTCAATTATTTTTTTTGCAACTAATACTAACAAATGGGGCAATTGGTAATGCTACTTTAAACCTTAAGGAGGGGATTGTAATTTCTAAAATATGAGGGGTGTCAATGTAATTTACCCAGTGAGGGCAAAATTGGTATTTAAAAAAATTCAATTGCTAAGAAAGGAATCTGTAGGGAGCTTCTATTTACACACACTAAACCCTCTTTATACACACACTTAATGAAGGGAGTGTGTAAAAAGTGTAGTGAGGGAGATGTGTAGAAAGTGTATATTGTGTGTGTAAATAGAAGCTTCTGAATCTGTAATGAAACTTTAAACCTCAGGGAGATATAATTTCCAAAAAGTGAGGGGGGAACAGTAATAAATATAAACCTCAGGTGTGTCAGTGTAATTTGTCCTTCATTTTTTTTAATCTGTCAAGTTTTGGACGGACGGTAGATTTGAGATTCTTTTAGTCTCAATTAAACCGTCAAACTGCAAGCATTTCTAATAATTTATAAGATTTTATATTTTTAATTTGTTTAGATATTTTATTTGTGTTTTTAATTGAAAAAGAATTTAGATATTTTGTTGTGTTTTCAATTTGTTTTTAATTTGGAAATCCTTTTATCAAATGGCAAAGATTGATATTTGATATTTTTGTGTGAAAAATATTAGGTTTAATTTTGTCATTTAAAAAAAAATCAAATTAAAAGATTTTTTGAATAAAAAAAAAGTAATGCAATAACTTTGATAATATATTATTTTCTTATATGTATTTATTATTGTTATTTGACAATTTATTTAATAATCTTTTAATTATGTTGAGTTGAATTATTATCCAAAAAAAAAAATATTGATAATTTATTGTGTTATATTCAAAATAATAAAGGTTGAGATCCCTTTTGGGGGTCACCCCCTTGACCCTCTTTAGTTTTGATTGGTCAATTTTTTTATTTTTTATTTTTTTTCTCTTCTCACCCTATTCCCAACCTCCATGTGTGTGAAGAGGTTGTGGGAGTGGGTGTTTTAAGATAGTCTAAATCAATGTCCTATTCAAAATTTATAAAAATTTAAATTATCAAACCGACTCACATCTATCCGTCAATTTACTTTATCCGCAACTGCCAATTTAATAGACGGATGTGCACTAATTTTTTCTAATCCATACATCTAATAAACGGATGGCCAATTAAAAAAAATTTGGCTATAATCCAACCGCGACCCTCTAACAACAACAACGATGTTGGTTTGCAACTTTTGTGTCAGGTTGAGGAGACCTCGTAACGGGTAAAAGGTCGAGGTCAAAACCCTACCCAGTTACAAATAGACCATCTACCCGAAACCAAATTATAAAAAAAAAATCATTTTGGAGAACATATATAAATAAAAAAAATGCAATCTTCTTAAAAAATAATATTAGGAGCAAGAATTCAAACACAAAAAATTATTCTATTAATCTGAAAAATAAACTATTTTTTCTTGATATTTTTCAATTTTTTCATTACTAATCAACTAAACCAACAAAATAAGGAATTTTGGTTTTATTTTTATGTTTACACCTTTCCTTGTCTTTCACTTGGAATCACAATTTGCTGGAACAACTGACTGCTTTTGCAATTTGACTAACCTTTGAGCAAAATCAAAACATTTGAACTTTCCAAGGTTGATGTTATTGCTAAAATAAATTATGACAAGACAATATACAATCCAATGCTATGAGCAATTACACATTACTTTGGAAAAAATTGATTATCACTTTGGTAAAAACTTTGTACCACTAGATTTATTTCATCTCTTACCGATGTTTATGGAATGAAAATTATGTATATGTGTAAGACTCCCCATAAATATAATGTCATTTCTATTAATGAGACACTAATAATAAAATTTTTGCATCAATGCCATTCTCTTTTTCTTTTTTTTTTTTGAAAAAATAATAAAATATTCACTATAAAATTAATAAAAGATCTTATCAATTCAGTACAGCGGTATCATAAAATCTCAAAAAGAGATAAGCAACCTCCATAAATTGGAGGGGTTGGGTAAAGGTTAGGGTTGGCAGTCGGTGGCTGACGGCCGGCGGTGAGCAAGAGTTAGGCTTAGGGTTTGTTAGAGAAGATGAGGGTAATTTAATATTATTTTAAAATTAGTGGTGTGTATTGAGACAAAATCAAAAGTTTTAATTTGTATGCGGTGTGAACTGAGTAAATAGTTTGTACTGAAAGAATTGATGGTGTGTAAATAGAATAACCCTAAGCAAATAGACCAAATTGCTACTTAGTCAAAATCTAAGACCTTATTTGTTTTCCTTCGTAGCCCATGGGTTAGTTACCAATCTCGTGGGAGCTACAAGAATCATGTTTATTTAGAGAAATAGTCATGGACATTGGATTAGGAATATGAGGACTAGCAATCCCATGTAGGGATGGCAATTTGAAACCAACTCGATGGGGACCCGATCTCTCGATCCCGATTTGAACGGGTTTTCCTCGAAAAATACCCTCGACGGAACGGGGATGATATTCAAAAATCAATCCTCGATCAATTTTGGGGTGGGGACGGTGATAAGTGCCCAAGCCCCGGCCACGCCCCGTATGTCCCCCAAACTGATATATATATATAATATATATTTTATTATCTGTTTCCGTCTCTCTCATTTCATCTCCCATTTCTATCTTTTTGTTTCATTTCATAGCTGCTCTTCTCTCTCTCTCTTCCCTCTACTCTCTCTCTATCTTCCTCACC